GTCCCCCAAACTCCCTGCCCCCTCTCCTCCCCTGCACTGTCCCATCTCCACTTACCCCCAAACCCTTCGAACCCCTCTCTCTCCCCCTGCCTGATGGCACCTCTCTGTACAATTGACAGGTCAGCATCTCACTGGCTCCATCTGATGACTTCCGGGCTACCCCTGTGGAGAAGGAAGAAGAATCTTATTGTCTCTGTGTGAACGGACGGAAAACAGTATCTTGGGCTGTGACCCCAAAATCTCTGGGTAAGGGACCTGGCAACTCCAAAATCTCGGATCAGGAACTAATGGATGGCTCCAAAACCTCTGTGAAAGGGATCAAGTGGCACTGAAATTTCTGGATCAGATTTCTGGTGGCTCCAACCTCTCTGGAAGGGACTGATCCGCTGTGAAAGGAGGAAGGCTGGCCTTGTGGCTGAGGCACTGGACTGGACTCAGGAGACCTGGACTCAGTGTCCAGCTCTTGGGCAAGTCAGTGTCCCCATGCCTCAGTTTCCCCATCTGACTACTGCGATGGGGGCCATATAAATACCTGGATTGACAACCTGGTTGGGTCTGAAATTTCTGGAAAAGGAAGATGATGGCTCTGAAACCATGCAGGGGTCTGGGCAGCAGAATCTGAAGAACTGACCCTGCAGTCCCCTCCTCTCCATCTTGCCCAGCCCCATTCGATGTAGCCATTGGAGTCTAGGGGTTGGAACTAAGGCTGCCGCAGAGCTGTGCTAAAGTGCTAACCTACATGTGACTTGAGACTTGACCCTCTTTAGAGAGATTTCCATGTAATCAAAGCAAAACACCAAGCGAATGACACTGACATCTCTGTAGCTGCAGTGCCTGGCAGAACACTTACCCTTCTTTGTTTCAGGTAATGTGGATTTCTCAGTGAGCGCTGAGGCCCTGAAGACAGATCTGCCCTGCGGGAACGAGGTAGTGGAGACCCTGGACAAAGGGCGGAAGGACACGGTGATCAAACAGCTGTTAGTGGAGGTAGGTGGGCTGTTTGGTCTCTGGGGTATAGAGAAGCCATGATAACTTACTGCTGTGTAGTGACAACTGATATAATGCTGCAGGTCTTCTTGGTTTTATAGGGAAGCCATAATGACTTAATATGATCTCAGCAATAACACGTTCTCTAATGCTGTAAAGGGAAGCAGCGATAAATCACTGTATTAGCCAAAATAAACTGTAATACTGCATAACTTCTTACAGAAAAATACTGGTATCTTGTTACACCATGAGATTGAAATAATAAGCAAAGCCATGTCTTTTGGGACAGTAACCATGACTTGTAGGTTTTGTCCATAACAAGTCATGGGATCGAGCCCTCAGCAGTGTAGATTGGCATAGCGCCATTAAATTCAATGCAGCTCTGCAGATTTACATTAGCTGTGGACGTGGATCGTGGTCCTTGTAAATAGAGCTGTGCAAATAACTGGTTTTTTTGGTTTGCTGGCCAACTGAAAAATCAAAAAAAGAACCGTTTTGGGTCAACCGAAATGAAAATGTTTCAGGGTTTTTTGATGAACCAAAGTGGACAAAAAATATATAGTTTTAAGTCCAACAAAAAGTTTGATAACGACCTGACATGAATCATACTGTTGTTTTTTCAAATTGTTTTACTTTTTTTCAACATAAAATTAAACTAAAATTTTAAAAAGTAATATTGAATTGAAAAAGCAAAATATTTTGTTTAGAAAATGTCAAAACAAAATGTTTTGATTTTTTTAACTGAAACAATTTGGTGAATTTAGCACAAATGTGAGAAATGTTTTTGTCAATCCGAATCTGCATTTTACTGCGAAAAACAAGCTTTTCCAAAAAAATTCTCCCAGATCTACTTGTAAACCCTGCCGGCCCATTCCCAAACAGGACACTTCCAGGAACTGTAACAAATCTTGTGCTGTATGTGACCAGTGTAGTGGAATATGGGACAGTGCCTTCATTTTAAAACATTTGTGAATGATTAGTAAATTATCATTATTTATTTTAAATCATTTGATTGCAAACAATTAAAAAGTGCTCAAGGTAATGTGAGCCAATGATTTTTTTGCATATTTTTCTATAAATGTTTGTCTCTTACAGTATTTTGTGATGAGGAACCCCTGGCTTTTCCCCTTTTTTTTTTTTTTTTTGACATGACACCCAGACAGCATAAACAATATCTCATAATATAAACATCCATGGCTATTCTATGTAATAGGGAAGTAGTGATAACTTGTTACATGTCTGATCAGAGCAATATCACATGATAGAGGTGGCCATTCCTCTCTCCATTATAGGAAAGCACTAATCATTTTTAAATTGTGTGACGTAAGCAGTAACACGTGATCTAATACTGCAGCTC